TGAAAATTAATATAATCTGGAAAATTCGTAAAACCGAACGAAATTTGACAACTGCGTGACAACACATTTGGTAATTTGTGACTCTCAATAACTGAACATTTTTAAAAATATAATAAGTCTAATTAAATTATATCTGTTCAATTAGTATGCAAAACTCAAAATTCAGTAATTAGTTTGCGATGAAAATTGGTCTTACAAAATTGCATATTTAGTTAGGAAATCCAGAATATTCCTATTATAGCAATAAGTGGATTAAGACGAGCTTAAATCTGGCTCAAGAAGTTGTCCAGCGAAAGTGATACATTTAATAACCAGGTTGAGGTTTGTATATGTAAATAGCACAATGACAATATGTTACATTAACAGCAGCGTATGTTAAACATTTAACACAAAAATTTCGACATACGGATAGAAATTCACTCAAATACAAAATGTTTTGACGTAGAACTACGTCTTTGTCGACAGTAAGTAGGGGATAACATTGGGAGCACAGATGCAACGAAAACATGTCACACTTTGAACGTTTATATCTTCGAAACTAATAATCGTAGGGTAATTATTAATACGTCATTAGATAGCTTATATAGTCCCATTTCCTCTTGAAAGTTTCAAAAGTCTCAAAAAGCTTCCTAAATGAGGAAGACAAACAATTATAAGCAAATAATTATGCTCAGGTCTCAACCACTTTCAATTTTGGCAATAAGCAACTTTTCTAATTCTATTATATTCTTTAGTCTTTTCTACTCCTATTTCATGTATAATACTTTAAGATTTGGTTGATTAGACCCAGCTTTATTAGACTTATATGCATGTACGTATTCCTAGCAAATTTTAACGTATGTAACTCAAGAACTAATTAACCAAATTTTAAAGAATTATATATGAAATAGGGGTAGAAAAGACTGAAGAATAAAATAGAATTAGAAAAACATTGCTAATATAATAAAAAAAGTGTACAAATTAGAAATTTGTTCTTTTTTTTACTTATACATATATGTATATAACTCAAAAACTAATAAATCAAATTTTTAAAAATTATATATGAAATAGAGGTAGATAAGATTGAAGAACATAATAGAATTAGAAAAAATTGCCAATATACACTACCCTCCATAAGTTTGGAAACACTCTATGACAGATGCCGTACGTGCGACTATTTACAGATAAATAATCGCACGGCAGCGATCTGTGCAGATTTTTGGTATGAATATATCGTAAGACGTTCAAATAATCATATATATTTCCACCTGAGACACTTGCAACACTTATACATGCCAAAAATATGTCGGATGATTATTTCGCGACACCGAAGTGCTCGGAGTTGAATTTGTTGAACAGCGAATCACAAGTTACAGATGCACCTTTGGGAAGTTCTCCAGCAAGAATGGAAACGTATCCCGACTGAACTCCAAAAGTTGATCCACCGTATACCGAGAATATGCAAGGCAGTCATTAAAGCAAAAGGTGTGGTTACTTTGAGGAATGTAAAAATTAATGGAAATTTTTTATTTTAAAAGCCTGTTGGATAACATATGTACTCTATTTATAGAGTGTTTCCAAACTTATAGAGGGTAGTGTAATAAAAATCAAACAGGCAAAGTAACAACTGTACCGCAACCAACAACGTAGAACTATACGTCTACTGGCAAAGTATTCAGCGAAGGGCAGTTGACGTAGGGTTGACAGTAGACGTATAATTCTGCGTTGTTGGTTGTGGCACAGTTGTTACTGTGCCCGTTTGATTTTTTTACCGTGATTGTATTGAAATAATCCTTATCGAATTATTACGGAAAAAAACTTTATAAAGATTAACGGAATTGAAATCAAAATTTGTTTAGTTGCTAAATAAATTTACCAAGATGTGCATTGATAGATACATAAGATTAAATCGAGTCAAATTAATGGGGAACTGTGTATTTTGTCGCGCTTCTGACGTTGCCGAGTCGCGCGGGAGAAAGAGAAACGTCTTTACGGACTTATTTATCAGACGACGTTGTAACGAAAACACGATATATACCGAACGAAATCTCGAGCGATACAAATCAAACCGGGAACGATACCGGAAATAATCCCCATCTTTTGGATTTCCCGTGCGATATCCGCGAACATGCATTTTCGTTTCCTGGGGAGTGTCCTTCCGCGAGTCTTTTAATCGCACGTGCGCACGTGAACAAAAAATCGCCCAAGGGCGCAATAAATCGCTCCTTTATCGCAATTCTCAGAACTATATTGCGTTTTGTTAATGCTCACAGAACTCTCGTTTCACTCGCGGGAACATTTATTCGTGTCCAATTTATCGCGACGAGCTTATCGCGATTAGCATCCTTCTCTCACGACACCTTCGCTTCGTGCACTATGTGTTACAAATCGATAGTCAATTTAAAAAGAAATGGGATTCCTTCGCGCAGAATACGAATAATCTATCAATTGATTTTATTTATCTTAAAGATATTAAAAACGATAGCTGCAGAAGAATTTAGAAGAACGTATTATTGCAAAGAAAGTTCCAATTTTAATTCAACTTTTAAAAAGCCGGATTAATTTCAAAAACACAAATAATGTACCGATTTGTTTATTCATTTTGACAATAATAAGCAAAAATAGCCAGGATTTAAACTGACAGAATTTATGAGTTGAAAATCGGAGAGAATAATATTCGTGAAAATGAAGCGCCAAAGTAAATTCTATACTTGAACAAAGCTGTATTAATTTTAGAAACATGGATATCAGTATGCAAAATGCATCGTCCGAGATATGAGGGTGCGAAAGAGATTTTTCGCAATTCCCTTTTAATATTCAACTCCTTTTGCATCTATAAATTTCATGGATATATGATTAAAATGAGATAATAGGATTAGCTTTCGCTGGAAATACATGGAAAACCCACGCAGAATTGTTACAATTAACTGTCATTTGATACATTTGACAAACGCGTATTTTAATAAATATTATTTAATTCCTGCAATTAATGAACGTTTATTGCAATTAAATCCAATTTCGTACGTTAAACAACATATAAAAAAAATTTATTTTCCTCATAAACGCAATTTAATTTTTAATTAACCAGAATTCTTTTAACTAAATCCGCTTTTGCATATTTGGTAATGTAGATTTCGATAAATAAAATATTCTTTATAATTAAGCAAGATTATTTTAATTAAATCTGAAAATTGTCAATTATTTTATTACTTCATAAATAGATTCTAATTAGTTTAAATTGAAATCTTAATTAATAACTTTTGCAATTATTGCAACGATTATAATATAAAATTTTGAAACATTTCTCTAATCGGAATAAAATCAGATAATTTTAGTTAATTAACAAAACAAAATTGAAATTTTATAAAATATTCTTTTTATTACAGTCACCAAGAGAAGAGCATATAGCTTATAAAATAAAAATTTATGGAATAAAAATTTGTGGAACAAAAATTTACTTTTTTATTAGAAACCTTTTTTTTCTTATTTGCATCACTGATTCGGAGACGCACCATATATTAATTTTTACAAGCATTTTTTTAGGCATTTGTAAAATATTTTTTTTATTACTTGTATACATTTTTCCACTCTAACAATATTTATAAGAACAAGTATACCGCGCAATTTTATTTTACAGCGAATCTCTCTTTCATGGTAAAAGCATCTTGATGACATCTGTCTCGATGTTTGCCACTAGAATTTACTGCTCCCAAAAGGTTCGCGGAAAGATGTTCACATAAAGTCCAAAAAATATAGCTTTAATGACATATCGCATCTCATAACGTGAGAACTGTTTAACATTTCAGTGTACCGGCATTTTCAAAATTAGTTTCAGAAAATAACTATTAAGAGATTTGAAAGGAATACGCATAAAAATACGCCGGAATCATTGGTTTTCATTGGAAAGGCAAAAGATAAGGTGTCATCAATGATTTATTAATTAGACGCTGCATCTCGCGTGCATTTAATGCAAGAGGCGACGACGATGAAGAACGAACAGGTGTCTCAATGTGGGCAGGCCGTGCGGCAACGCTTGCGCGTCGCAATACTCTCGCCAGGGGTTGAGAAGCACCGGCGAGACAGCCGGTGGGGGTGACGTTGGCGAGAAATGAAAGCTAGTGGGCTAGTAGTCCACGGCGAAGCAACCTCCGTGGATCGCGTTGTTCGCCCTTCGCGCTCGGTTCCGAGGTCGACCCGCGAATCACTCGCCCGTCGCCACCCCCGACCTCTTATCGGAGACGCGCGCGTTTGAAACCACGTACCGTGGAAAGGCCTTCGGGACCCCCAAAGTGTCCGTTCGCTATGGAGGAAAGTTCATCGAACAATGTGCGTCCCGATTCTGCGGTTTTACGAAATATCCAACGAATTTTAGCTTCCTCGAGTTTCCATTAACTCCACGAGCACGATCAGAATTCCTGAAACTGCGAAAATTCCCGCTACATTTCCTAATTTTCTTAAAATTTCATTAAAATTATTTTCCTTATTTAATTTATCCTAATAATTTGTTTCATTGATTTTTCCTTTTTTGTTTTCAAAAAATTTTCTATAAATTTTTTAGCGTTTCTTTATTAAACTCATTTTTTATCTAAATTATTAAAAAGTTGTGTGAAAATTCTAAAATTTCAAAATTCTCAATTTTTTAATTTTTTGAATTATTGAGTAGATATATCTATCTTTTTATTTAAAAAAAAAATCTTTGAAAATAGTTGCTTATTTAATTTTTAATCAAATCGATTTTCATCATTTAAATTTCTGCAACTAGATTCCAGGATCTTAAAATCCTAGTTGAATTCTTGAAATTCACTTTTCGTTGATTCAATCTATTTTAACAGTTTAATTCATTTTCTTGAATCTTTGAAAAGATTTTCCAGGAAGTTTTAATTGATTAAGAATTTCTATTAAATCTACTAAAATTTACTTAATTTAAATTCTTGTAAATCATAAAAATTACAGACTATAAAGTTCTTAAGGCTTTTTAAACTTTCTTATTTTATTGATTTATTTCCTTAAATTTCTATATTTTAAGAAAAAAATCCTTTAAAATGTTTTGCTTTACGTGCTTATAGTTCTTCAGATTACCGACTTTCTTGTTTTTAATTACCTACCTAAAGAACACCGATTAAAACTCTGATATCTTAAATTCTCGAAACTGCTGGAACTTTACGACTTATCGCAAATTTTTGAATCTTAAGGCCATTAACTTTTTTTCCAGCGTCCCGATTTGGCGTCCTACATCTACACAGGCCATAAATCAACCCAAGGCATATAAAACGCCTCCGAAATTTTCCGAAATTATCGACTCGATTGAAATCGCGACAGATTAATTCGAAAGTACGCTCATATATAACTACTATAGCAATAATATTCGCGATTGTTCGCTTAAGCGATCCGCTTGTCGATGTAACCTGTTGAACACGTAATCCTCGCTTTCCATCGATACATATCACTCGGTATATTGGATCAGTCGCATCGATGAAATTGAATCAGTATCGATACTCGTAATTCGCCGAAGGCGCAGCCGGAATGGCCTCTTCCGTCTTCAGGAAGGGTCTTCTTCCAGGAAATATTTGACAATTTTATTATCCTGCATTGAGGAAAAATAATCGATCCGTGCTCTTGAGAAAAATATTTCAAGATCAAAACGTACGGCCTATGAAAGCTCTATGAAATTTTTAAATCATTAAATTATTCGAATTTTCTGATTACTGGATTTATCTCGCACTTTTCTGTTTAGATTCTTAGATTCTCGAATTTTTATATTTACGATTTTAAAACCGTGAGTCTGGTACTTTCAGACACTTGCAGTTTATCTGCGGATTTTTAAGATCCCCTAATATTTAATTTGCTACATTCTTGACTCAACCGACGCAACGTTCAACGTTAAATTTTTGTTTTGCTTCAATTACTATTTCGTAAATTCCTAGCATTCTAAATTTTTCGCCTTCAATATCCTGCCTTCCCGAGCTTTCATTCCTCGAATTTTTGGTCCCTAAAATATTTCATTTTGTTCCTAGTCAGCTTCGATCCTTTCTCACGAGTCTCACAGTGCCGCATGACGTCTCTTAATTAGGTTATTTTAACGGATGGTATATATTCTTTGTAAATCCCTTTGTTTCATAAATCCTCAAACCTTCCAATATATTTCCTCCGACTATAATTAATCTTGAAATAAACCGTCGTTACTCCAACAAGTCTCAACCTCTGAGAAACTCGGTATCCCACGACGATTCTGCATGGCGCGCTTTCAGATGCCAAGTCCTTGTGTTACTCGCGTGCCGTGAAAGTGCACGTCTCAGTGGATGAAAGTTCTCGACCGAGCGATGACGAGATCGACGACTATGCAGGTCGTCCTGACAGATTCCTATGATTACTCGTTGACCCTGTGGGATGCCGGTTTCACGAACGGCAGCGAGATCGACCTGGAGACGACGACCGTGAATCCCGCCGGCAGTCAGAACGACACGGAAGAGCTCAACAATTGGTGGGCGATGCTGGCACTCGTCCTAGTTCTGGGAACAGCCGCGGGGAATATCCTGGTGTGCCTGGCGATCACCTGGGAGCGGCGGTTGCAAAATGTTACTAATTATTTCCTAATGAGTTTGGCCATCACGGACCTTATGGTCGCCATCCTAGTGATGCCGTTAGGGATCCTCACACTTGTTCGAGGTAAGTTTACCAAGATATAGCGTACATAAAATACGCGAGAAGATGAGTCCCCGGGAGTTAGTGAAGGGACAGCTCGAAGCCGGAACTGTAAATTCGCGGTTTACAAGCAAGACATAAAACTTGAGCGACATAAAATATTTCACATTTTTAATTGTCATTAGAAATTTAAATTAATTGCTAATAATATTATAATTTACAAAATATTACGAGTAAGAAATCGAGGAATCCTAACGATTTCCTAGTGTCCTGAATAAAGTGTTGCGAGTCTATTCCAACTAATTTAAGGAAATGCGGGGATGTGAATAGCGCAAGGGTGCGTATATAAGGACGCGCATTTATCATCGGTATTACAGTATCCATATCCGGCAAATCTGAAATAAGATGATAAGACATTTTCCAGCATTCCGAGTAAAATGGTAACTGTCCGAAAAAAAACAAAATAATCGTCAGCAATAAAAACCTGGGGAATAAAAGAGTGCTATTTACAGACTATTTCGAATAATTCAAGGGAGAGAGAGAAATCCGGGTAAAAGAGCGCTATTTACCGCCGATATTACCGTGTCCACACTTTAGAAAAGCCAGAACGAAAGAATTTGGCTTTCCGAATAAAATGCCGTTCCGGTTATTCCAAGCGAGTTTGAAGGGAAATCGCATAAGGATGTGCGAGGGTCCCATTTATCATTGATATTCCTACACCTATATTTGTACAACCTTGGAAAACAAAAGGGTTAAATTCCATAACTTTCTGAACAAAATGTTATATTTGTCCATAAACGTGATAAAACGACATAAAAAAGAACTTGGAGAACGCTATTTATAGACCAGCATAGCTTATATTTCGAGTAATTTAAAGCGAGAGTGGATGAATTCGCGTAAGCTCACATAAGGGTGCTATTATTATTGCCAACAATGCTGTACCCATATTTACACGGAATCTAAAATAAAAAGGTTAAAACATTTTCCCTACAGGATTCGGAATAAAATACCCGCCCGCCTCTTCCGAGCAATTTTGGGCGGGGGCGGAAAGGAGGTAGCGTGAAAATGTCACAAGCGCGTGTAAAACCGCGCTGTTTTATCGCCAATGTTATTACGTTCGTGGTCTGGAAAATCTAGAACAAAAGGGTTAAAAATTTCCCACCGACATTCTGAATAAAATATCTCCTGCCTACAAGAGGGAATCAGTAGAAACGGGATTCCAGGTGAGGATATTTATCCACCAGCTAGGAAAGAGCTTTCATTTCGAGTAATTTGAAAGAAGATCGAATATTCGAATAAGCCGCTAGTTATCGCCGACGTATCCGAAACAAAAGGGGTTAAAAATCTGCAGACGTCCCGAGTGAAACGTTACCTGTCAAGGGGAGAGAATCGAGCCAGAAAGAAAAACCTGCATGAGCGATATGCTATTTGTAGCAGCGGCAGCCGCTTTTTCGAGCGATTTGGGGAGGCGGGAGCAGGCGGAATTGGCGTAAGGGCGCATAAACCGCGCTATTTATCCCCCAACATTACCTCGGGCTCGCATCGGTCTTCTCGCGTGATAGGTGGTTCTCGCTTTTACGAGTCGCTACCGAGGAGCTCAAGGCTCTTTGTTGGCCGAAACGAGAGCGCTTATGCATAATGGATCACCTGGTGGCGAGCGACCAGCGACCAATGATGCTTACTTGATACTTGCATCGCAACACGACGAGTGCAGCTGGCGACGGGTAGCATCGGGACCTCCGTGTCCAAACACCGAGAGAAAATTGATTGTGAGAAAAAGATGTTAAGCGATTCCTTAAAACACTGGAAAAACAAAATCGGAGTCCAACAAAAGAGACGCTTTTCAAATGAAAGATAGAAGCATTATTTTTCCATTATCTAGCATTCGATAATAATCATCCGTCAATTTTCATTAATTTATTCTTGCAAACTGAATTGTCACTGCGATATCAAATACTATCTGAATAAACGCATGCTAAATTTAATATAAATATCTTGAAAATTTTGAATTTGATTTATGGAATAAATATTGACGTATTTTAAAAGCCGAATAATAACTTCGCTGATAATTAATAATAATCTCTCATAAATCTGCTATTTATAATTTTGTAAATAATGATTATTATTCCTATTACATTTGTCATTTCCGTTAATTTGCTATAAGAAAAACTTTATTTATTTCGCTACATATCGTCGGCGATATAATAATAATATTAAATATCAGAAACAATAAAACAATAAATAGTCATAATTAACAAAAACTAAATTAAGTTCATAAAATGCAATAAAAAATTTTCATAAAAGTTCAATCAAAGAAACTTCACTGAATTAAAGCATCTTTAATCGCGAATCGCAATTTCTTGGCACGACTTGCGGTTGTGTTAAACGACGACTTAATTTAGCCGAAGTGAGGTCAAATATAGACGGCGGCCCACAGAGGAAAGACGGTGCAGGCGTGCACGAGAGAAATGAACAGAGAAACGGAGGATCGATGCGCAGAAATAACATGCACTCACGGGATTCGCCGCTTTAATTTCCCCTCGGGGAGGAAAGGATTCGTGTCCTGTATCGGTCAATTACGGCCATTGTTTCTGCTATTGCTGCACCAAGGATGCATGTAACTTCTGTTGCACTGCGCTGCGTATTAAATAGTTCACTGTTAAATAATAAAATTTAAACCTTAATTTAAATAACATTTTGTTATTTTTAACTACCAAGTGTGTCGAAATTTATCATTTTAACACAACATAGTATTATTTTAACTCTATTGGTTTAGTTAAATTAATATTGTTTTAGTTAAATTGACGATATACTGATTGTGAGTAAGAGCAGTGGCTACTACAGAAATAGTTAAAATTGACTCAAATTGAGTATAATTTGATGCTACGAATTCAACACTGCTACATTAGAAATATCAATCTTTTCTTTTTTCAAATCGTTTCTGTAGAACCATACTATATATAATTAAAAAAATATACTTTTTGACAAAAAAAGAGTTCAAGGATAATCACAAAAATTGTCAAAGATTCAAAGATCGAAAAGAACGAGGTGAGCAATTAAAAGGAGCAAAAAATTCTGTAATTCACATATTTTCTAAAATTGCGATAAGGTAATGAGATTATGAAAATTTGAAGAGTGAAAAAATTCGCGAAACCAAGGATTCATTAGCAAGGAAATAGATTTTAAGATGACAGTTTTTAATGAGCGCAAAGGGAAGGACGAAGGACGAAAGACGAAGTCGGATATCAAATGGAATATTCATCAGGTATAATGATTCGTTCGCCGTGAAACTTTAGGAAAGATCGGCCGATTAAGCATGGATAGCACGACAACTTCGAGAGAAGGTGTATCATCCGTTCCCGAGGGACACAAGATCGGAGGGGTAAAAAGATTTTGTAATCTCGACGCCGCAAAAGTCAGTTTTTCTCAGATTTATATATCCAATATTTTAATTCCACATTTTTTAAAGATCAAGAGTGTCTGCGGATTAAAACCTGAGGCTAAAAGAATCTAAAAGTCTTCTGAGATTTTAATGATCTCATTATTAAAACCATTAAAACGCGTAATTAAATATGTTATATAAATATAAATAGATAAAATAAATAATTTAAGAGTCTCAAAGTATCAAGATTTTTATAAATAATTTAATTTTTCAGTATAGATAAAAAATTCGATAAATTCTTTCGAATTTTCTTTTACAAATTATGATATATCGAGTTTAATAGTCAAAAATTGATGAATGTAGCGAGTTAATTAATTCCATGCTGTCAACGGGAGAGGAAACAATTTGAAGGGACAAGAGTCGAGAATTGATTTCCAGTGACAGGATTTGATCCTAGAGAATGTATACTCTGGCTAAACTGTTCCTAGTTGGTAGGACACGCATGGAAATACGGTTAATTGTAAGTGTCCTGTCAACAGGATACGTCCGCGCGTCTCGTTAAGGTTCATAGTCGCCTGAACTAACGAACGGAATGGAACCGAAACGTGTCCTTAACTTTATTATGCACGAAGAGAAGCTTTAACATAGTTACGCGAGACATGTCGGCGCGTCCTTACACGTGACTGCTAATATATTAATAATGGCGAAAGATCGCTTTTCTCTTCGGAAAAAGGGAGCGCACGTTTAATTAACTCCTTATATTTAATCGAAAAAAAATAGATTATTGATTATTAAAATTCTCGATTTTTTGCCGGCGAACTTACGTTAAAGGCCGATATTAAGCGATAATTCGCGATAATTAATTACACGGAACACCTATTAATACCTAATTAACATAACGTATCGATCATACGTAATTAATTGAAAGCTCCTCATTGAAGCTGTATTTACTTTCTTTCGGCGAAATTGTGTACACGTAATGTTACATCAGAAATATGTACTATATTAACATAATGCGCAGCTAATATAACATTTACAATTCGCGACAATTATATAGTGTTAATATTGTTTTTATTTATTATAAAAGTTTATATTATTTGTAGATGCATAGAAATTGTTACAACATAATTTTTATAATATTCCTTTTATGGACAAATTTATTCAAATATAATTAATGATACAAAAGAAAAACAATATCTAAGAAATGTCTCACTCTGTCGCGATCTTTCATTATACTTCGGAGAACCGTGTCTGATCAAGCTGGGTCTTTACCACTTGAAGATCTTCCGCAATGTCTGACTACAACAGATGTCGCGATTACTAGAAACAATATCTGACTTAACAGTTCTTTACTACTCCAATAAGCAAATTATTCCATAAAAGACAACGTCAAAATGTTATTGAGATATATAACGTGTTTGATTTGTGTCGATATTTACGAAAACTGATAAACACGTTACGTGTCAGCGGGGTCTCGTTGGTTGATCGATAATGGACCGTTTAATTAAGGGGCGGTTCTTGTGGATAGCCTATGGTGACAATTCTGCATTCCAACATATCGGTATGCATATATGGTTGGTCGTCGTATAATGATAGATTGTCTATAGACTATTCTAGAAATAGCGAATTAAGAAAACTAACT